GAGTGTGGGTGGGTGTGGGTGTGGATGGGTGTGGGTGTGGGTGGGTGTGGGTGTGGGTGGGTGTGGGTGTGGGTGGGTGTGGGTGTGGGTGTGGGTGTGGGTGTGGATGTGGGTCGACTCAGAGAAGACTCACACGCACACTCATTCACATTCCTAGCCACACTCACGTCCATACCCGTATACACCGATACCCTAAATATTTTCTCTTCCAAAGTTTTTGCAACCAAAATCAACGATGGTGACGTGCATATTTACAAGTCTCACTTTTTTTAACTGTCAATCATTCAAACAGGGGAGCGGTATAGGTGTCAATGTTTGTGTTCTGTCAACATAATGTGTTATGCTTCATGGATGATTGATTTTTCTGTCGTTTGGTAGTTCTTTTTTTCCAAGCTATTACTCATTGATTTGACACGACTAACTTTTCTGCGTCATCAACCAAGCAATATTTAGGAGAGTAACAACTTCACTACTTTTTTACTCCAATTTTACATTTTTTAAAGCAGGCATACAGTAGGTTAAACAAACTGAATGGCTATTTTCCAATGCAACGTTTACTTACATGCTATTTGAATACGACTCGATTATAACAAACATTATTTTCTAGTGAATGAACTGCTGAAAGGATGCATTAGTCTTTTAAAAAAACTATTCTCTTTTTTTTTACTGTAGTCATACTAAATACAGCTTTATGCTCCTCTACATTCTAGATAAATTTTGAAGCCTAAAAATGGGCAACAAAACTAGTAACGATTCTATATCTGAGGAACTTCGAATTGGCGAAGCAAGTTCACTCTATTGGGCCTGTCGCAATGGCGATATGCAAAGGACGAAACAAATTCTGTCTGCTCAACAATTCTCTGATATGAATCAACTTGAGCCCAATGGATCAACTGCTCTTCATGCTGCCGCTTTCTTTGGTCACTCTGAAATAGTTCGTCTCCTTTTGCACGAGTATGGAGTCATTCGACATCGAAAGAACAGACATGGACTGACTGCATTTCAAGAGGCTTCTACGCATCAGATCCAACAGCTTTTTCAGCGCCCTAAGAACAATAGATTTTGTTCACATGAGAACGTTCATACTTTGTTTGATCTGCACAACGTTCAACGTGATGAAAGTCAAGTGGAAATAGCAAAACCACAGAGTGGTTGGGTAGACGGGCATACAGGCAACATGGACTCATATTTGAGTTGGGCAAATTTCAGAAGAACGGTGATCACGAATCCTGTATATCAAGGTATTATGAAGACGATGTTTACAGTGTTGTTTTTTAGTGATAATGCAGAAAAAATGATGATAAGAAATCTGGAAGCACTTATCCGTGAAAGCATTCCAATAACTCATCATGAGTAGCAAAAAGCTCAAGAACTTTCATCACGATTTTCCAAGAAGAAGAAGCTCGAATCACTTCTCCGCTTGTATTCTCTCGAAACACCTTTTTATAAGAAACTTGATCGGGACAACATTAACACACTCCTTTTTCTAATCCTATGGCGACTTAAATCACTGAAAAGTCGTGCATTTCAAGGAAGATCATTTCGTGGATTAACAATGACAAATAGTGACTTAGAAGCATATGAATGGGCACTGCGCCACAAAGGAAGTCTCATCAGAACATGTACCTTTTGTTCAACATCAATTGAAGAACAGGTCGCTCGACGTTTCATGTTGGCATCAATGGCGATCGATAAAAAGAAAGTTCTCATGGTCATGAATTTTCCCGAGCAGTGCGACACAGCAATTGCACTCTATGCATTGTCAAACGAGTTAGAGTGTATTTCCGATTTTGAAAATGAAAAAGAAGTGCTAGTTTTACCCACCACAATCTTCAAGGTGATCAATATCGAACGGTCTAACGAACTGATTACTATCTATCTGGAAAATATGAACGAGTTTAGCATATTAAAGGCAGTCAAGAAGGAGTTCGTTTCAGAATAATAGCAAGCAATGTGCCTGTCGCAAAGAAATCCATAAGCAGGTCTAATTTTCGATTTTCAGTTTGAATTATTATGAAGTTACTTAATAAACAAGAAACAAAAAAATCGTGATAAATATTGGACAACCTGAAATTCAGGCTAGTATGCAGTGAAAAATATATGCAAACATATGGGCACACTCAAGCTAAGATATTGGTATAGTGGATCAATGCCTGAGTTGGTTGAGTCTTCTCTCTTCTCTCACACAAAAATAATACGCACAAAAAGTTGATTGACTATCTATGTATAGGTGCGGATGTGAGTGTGAGTGTAGGTGCGGGTGTTTGTGAGGGGTGTATTTCCTCTCTTAACTCATCCCCACGCCCATATACTTTGCAGCTAGTTGAAGAGCCATGATTACTATGACTGCCACCGAAGGGTATCGCAAACGAAAACAGTTCATGATGTAGGTAGACTATTTACCATGGATTTGTCAAAGATTTAACACGCGCTGTTTTGGTGTGTGGGTGTCGGTATGTGTGTAGGTATATGTGTGAGTGTGTAGGGGTGTGAGGATGTGCATATGTGTGTGGGTGTGGGGTGTGAGTGCCGATGTGTGGGTGTAGATGTGAGTGTGAGTACTAGTGTTGGTGGGTGACTGTGAAGTGTGTATGAGAGTGTAGAACACCCACACACCCACACCCACACCTACACCCACACACACCCACACCCACCCACACCCACACCCACACCCCACACCTACACCCACACCGACACCCACACCCACACTCACACACACACCCACACACCCCATACCCACACCCACCC